CTTCTCCGCCCTCCTTTGGCTCTCGTCGACAGACCGCGGGCTTTTCCCACACCAGCCCCCTTCGACACCCCGTGGGGCCCTCACTTCCTGCCTCTTTCCCCTCTCTCGGGCCCTACGGATACAAATGGCCATTCCCCTCATACGCCCCTTGGCTCGTTCGCACCCCCCCCCGCGACCACCATGGCTGCCCAGACCCTCAGCGATTGTTCTCCTGTTCCCCTCTTTCTCCCCTATTCCCATCCCTCCCAACCCCAGCCTTTCGCCATCCCTTACGTAGTCCACCGTAAAACCCTTTACCCGTTTTCCACCCTCTACCATCGCTGGATACCCACGTCTCCCCCACCCCAACACTCACTCCCCAGTGGCTGGCCTCTCCTCTTTTGGCGGGGATGGCGGTTAATGGTGGAAGAAACCTCAGCCAGATCTCTCTGGCATGTCACCTCTGCTTCAGGTCCTCTCCGGCATCAGTCCCGATTGACCCTCTCTCCACGTTGCCCAGACTCGCTCACCGTGTCTTCACACTGTCCTTCTCCGATGCCCACCCCAGGCCAACACTTACCCCTGCTGTCCATTCAGGGTATCCACATTTTTCTACCCAGGGTCCCATCCCTGCCATCCACTCCTGGCTTCCTTTGGGATTCCCATTCACTCTTTTCCTCCTTCCCTCTTTCATACCCCCCTTTATTCAGCTCACCCTTCTGTCTCACCAGCTTTCTTCCCCCCCTTTCCACTAGCTGTGGGAGGCAGCCCCTGGCATCACTAGTGTTTCTCTGTGTGTTTAGGGGGACACCATACCAGCATGTGCAAGTCTCTCTCTCTCTCTCTCTCTCTCTCTCTCTCTCTCTCTCTCTCTCTGTGTGTGTGTGTGAGAGAGAGAGAGAGAGAGAGAGAGAGAGAGAGAGAGAGAGAGAGTGATTTGAGTGTCTTGCTATCCCGGCAGGCAGGCAGGCAGGCAACCTTCCCCGCTGCATTCTCCACCGCCTTCCAACTCGCCTCTGCCTGGGCGGCTTGCAGCACCCAGAGAGCAAATAAGAGAGGTGGATTTAGGGGTGGCATCAAGGTGTGGGCCCTGGAGATTTTGGCCTTCAGTAAGTCGTGGGGGAGAGGAGGAGGAGGAGGGAGAAGTGATTGTCCATGTCTCCTTGCTGCTCATGGCTCCCTGTCTTCCCTCCTCCTATAAAAATAAAACCAACCCCATTGCTCCTGGCTCCCACTGCTGGACCAGTTGGGAGAAGGGGTTTTGCTTGCAACTGAGACATCTGCTTCAGTGCGGTAATCTAAGGAGTGGAACTCATTTTCCCCCGAAGGAGGGGGGCACTGAAAAAACTGGGCAAGGGAAATAATCACACTGTTTTAAATGTGCATGCAGACACACACATGCACACATACACACACAAATACACATTAAAAGGCAGTTTTCCACTTCTCCTTTTCTTTCTTCCTCTAGCCTTTGCAATGAGATCTCTAAGTCATCCCCTCTCTATGCCACATCCAACTTTATCTGCCTGGGCTTGTGCCCTCTTTCCACCACCTCTGATACTATGAATGCACATGGATGTGCATTTATCTTATTTTATTTTCTATTGAAAGCCCCCCCCCAAAAAAAAAATCCAGAAGGATTTATTCATTTATTTATGAGTGATCTATGGGGAGGGGGAAAATTAAGCAGTTCACTGATGAATAGCTCCAGAGGAACTGGCAATGCTGTTGAAAGTGGAGGGAATCCCCCCACCCATTTCTTGCTTGATGCATAGAGTGATATATTGGGTTTTGTTTTTTGCCAAACGATTGCAGTGAAGAACTACAGATTTCTTCTCTAACCTGTCTGCATTCTGCAAGATACTTGAACCCCAGACAGGTGCTTCTAATCCATTAGGCGTTAAACTCAAGGCTCAAGGCAGGATGACTTACTAATCCATTCCTTCAACTGCCTTCTTCCCTAAAACAGTTTCTTCTTTCTTCTGTTTTGCACTCGGCCAACTCCAAAGTAAAAGCAGTGTTTGAGAGAAGACGACATAGGCTAGGAAATTAAAGAAATGGAAATTAAAGAAACAGAGATCCCATGTTCCAGTGGGCATGCCATTCAGAGATTCAAACTGAGACACAGGTCTGAGAAGAGGGCACAAACATAGGTAACTGGGTGGGTGAGAATATTCCCCAATCCACTATTCTTGGATGCCCTCTCTTCAGAAGGGGTGGTGGTCTATGAGGAGTCTTGGCAGCCTGGAAACAGGAACTGCACAGCTTCTAGATTTGGTGATGATCGCTGTCTCTGAAAGCTGCTTAGCTCTCTCCATTGCAATTAAACTATTTTGTCAAAAGATGGGGGGAAGAGCCGATATGTCAGATATGGCTGAAGCTGCAGAGACAGTCCTCAGATCCAACATATTTGCCAAGTTATGGGTGAGTGGCTAAGGATAATCTTTTCACTGTTTTAGTGTCTGTCTGTGTGCATATATGTGTCTTTTAGAGAGGTTCTGTGTTGTATTACTGACTTTTGACTGGTGTCCTTGTGAAAATAACTCATTTACTGGCAAATCAATCCTGAAAGGAATTGGTGATGATGACTGCTTTAAGAAGTCAGCTTCTAATAACATTCATAAATATTTCACCAGTGGCTATCTCTGTCTTGTCTTTTTTTAGAGGGGGGGCAACCCCATGAGATGATGAGGGGGCGTATATTGAATTGCTTGATTGGAGGATTCCTGCGCTTCTGAAATCCTCCCCCCCCCCAAAAAAAAAACAGAAAAAGATGTTGACTGGCATTTTGTATAGGCTCATAAAGCAGGACTATTAAGGAACTGAGGTATTTTCGTAGATTTCAGGCTTTGGGGCTCTTGTGTGTGAAGTACAAAGAACCTTGTTGCTTTCCAGCATTACAATGGTTGTTTCTATAGACCCCTGCAGTGAAATTGTAAGGAATAGTTAAAGAATACATTAGGGAGAGCATCATGTGTGAGAAAAAATGGGGGAAGACCTTCTCTTGCAAGTCGCTGTTCATTTGGAAGGTTCTGAAAAGGAGAAGGAAGGCTGTGCGGGCAATAGGTGAGGATGGAAACCTGTAAAATGGTGCTTCTGTTCTCAGAAATTAGCAGCAAGTAACTAAATTGACAGCCATTTTATATATACGTTTATGAAATCTCTCTGTGTGTGTGTGTGTGTGTGTGTGTTTGTAGAGTGGTCGGGAAAAACAGATTGAAATAATAAGGGAAATAGATGGAAATGGTGTTCGGATTATGAGTAGAAAGCTTTTGGATTGTGAACTTATTTTGGGAAGATATACATTTAAAATCAAATTAAAACACAGTCATTATTTAATAGTAGCTACATCACTACCTTTCAATCAAAACTTTTGGTGACTGGAAGAAAATTTAAGGTTTAAAAACATCCCCTTTCCCTTATGTTTTGACATCTATAGCATTGCCGTGATTAGGTTTCATTCCTCACAATTGTATCATGATGGTGTATATTTCCCTCCCCACCCCCTTGCTGTCCACAGGAGATAACATGTATGCTTGCTGCTCTACGGTGACTCTGGAGCAAGATCTCAATAGGAAAATGCATATCTGGATGGTGCAAACCATAGCCTTTGCTTTAACATCTCTAGTCCTGGCATGGGCAGAGAGCATTGAGTATTATGGGGAGATATGTGACAACAAATGCCCTTGTGAAGAGAAGGATGGCATCTTGACGGTGAGCTGTGAGAACCGGGGGATCATCCACCTGTCTGAGATCAGCCCTCCTAAATTTTCTGTCTACCATCTGCTTCTGTCTGGAAATCTACTCAACAGGCTCTACCCAAACCAATTTGTAAATTACAGTGGGGCATCCATTTTGCATCTGGGGGGCAATGATATACAGGACATTGAAACAGGTGCCTTTCATGGGCTGCGGGGCCTAAGAAGGCTACATCTGAATAATAACAAGCTGGAAATACTGAGGGATGACACTTTTGTGGGACTAGAAAGCTTGGAATATCTCCAAGTTGATTACAATTACATCAGTACTGTTGAACCTAATGCTTTCAGCAAGCTGCACTTGCTGCAGGTGCTGATTCTGAATGACAATCTCCTCTCTTCATTACCCAACAACCTGTTTCGGTTTGTGCCCTTGACTCATCTTGATTTGAGGGGCAACCGGTTGAAACTACTTCCGTACCTGGGTCTCCTGCAGCATATGGATAAGGTTGTGGAGTTGCAGCTGGAGGAGAATCCATGGAACTGCTCCTGTGAGCTGATTGCTCTCAAAGATTGGTTGGACAGCATCTCCTATTCTGCCTTGGTGGGGGATGTGGTCTGTGAAACTCCTTTCCGTTTGCATGGAAGGGATTTGGATGAGGTTTCCAAGCAGGAGCTTTGCCCAAGAAGACTCATCTCAGATTATGAGATGAGACCACAGACACCACTGAGCACCACAGGGTATTTTCATACCACACCAGCCTCTGTGAATTCAGTGGCTACATCTTCCTCGGCTGTTTACAAATCACCCTTGAAGCCCAAGGGGACACGCCCACCCAACAAGTCCAGAGTGCGTCCCACCTCCCGCTTGCCCTCCAAGGATCTGGGTTACAGCAACTACGGCCCTAGCATTGCTTACCAGACCAAATCCCCTGTGCCTTTGGAGTGCCCTACAGCTTGCACTTGCAACCTTCAGATCTCTGACTTGGGCCTCAATGTCAACTGCCAAGAGAGGAAGATAGAGAGCATCTCAGAGCTCCAACCCAAGCCGTACAACCCCAAGAAGATGTACTTAACTGAGAACTATATTGCCCTGGTGCGAAGGTCAGATTTTGTGGATGCCACTGGGTTGGATTTGCTCCACCTGGGCAATAACCGCATCTCAGTCATTCAGGACCGGGCCTTTGGGGATCTTACTAACTTGCGGAGACTCTATCTGAATGGGAACCGAATTGAGAAACTGAACTCAGAGCTTTTCTATGGTCTTCAGAGTTTGCAGTACCTCTTCCTGCAATATAATGTGATCCGAGAGATTGAGGCAGGAACTTTTGATCCTGTACCTAATTTACAACTTTTATTTCTCAACAACAATCTCCTGAGATCTTTGCCTGTGGGCATTTTTTCTGGCTTAACTCTCTACCGGTTGAACCTAAGGAGCAATCATTTCTCCTATCTTCCTGTTAGTGGGGTGCTTGACCAGCTGAAGTCCCTGCTTCAGATAGATCTGCATGAGAACCCATGGGATTGTACATGTGATGTGGTGGGCATGAAATTATGGCTTGAACAACTCAACACAGGGGTCCTTGTGGATCAGGTAATCTGTGAATCCCCTAAGAAGTTTGCCGAGAGTTACATGAAGAACATCAAAGCAGAGCTGTTATGTCCAGACTACTCTGACATTATAGTTTCCACTCCCACTCCATCTTCCATGCAGGGACCAGTAAGGACCACCCCCTTCTCCAATTCTGGGCAGTTCAACAGCACCTTGGAAGGGGATGACTCAGCATCATCTTCTGGTGGCTCTTCTTCCTCTTCTTTTTCTTCCACGGTGCCTTTGTCGGTGCTGATTCTCAGCCTGCTGCTGGTCTTCATTATGTCTGTGTTTGTGGCTGCAGGCCTATTTGTGCTGGTCATGAAGCGAAGGAAAAAGGTACAAGGAGACCATGCCAGCACCAACAACTCAGATGTGAGCTCCTTCAACATGCAGTACAGTGTATACACAGGTGGAGGAGCCCCCCATTCTCATCCACATGCCCATCACCAGCAGCATCCACAGCATCTTCACCGTGGAGGTGGTGGTGGAGGAGGTCCAGCTTTACCCAAGGTGAAAACCCCTGCTGGACATGTCTATGAGTACATTCCTCACCCTTTAGGCCACATGTGCAAGAACCCCATCTACCGGTCCAGGGAGGGCAATGCAGGGGAGGATTACAAAGATCTTCATGAGCTCAAGGTGACCTACAGCAACCATCACCTCCACCCCCAAGCCCCACCACCCCCACAAGCCTTGGGGCAGCCTCCAGTGGCTCCAGGGGGCCAAGAGGAAACCATCCGAAGTCCCACGTACAGTGTGAGCACCATTGAGCCTCGGGATGAGTTGCTTTCCCCTGTTCAGGATGCTGATTGCTTTTACAGGGGCATTTTGGAGCCTGACAAACACCCTTCTTCCACCTTGGGGGGCAGTAGCCTTCCTGAGTATCCTAAGTTTCCACCAACTGCCTACACCTATTCCCCTAACTATGACCTTAGGCGCCCCCCTCATCCTTACTTGCATCCCGGCCCAGGGGACAGTAGGCTCCGGGAGACGGTGCTCTATACTCCCCCAAGCACTGTTTATGTAGAGCCCAACAGGAACGAATACCTGGAGCTAAAAGCAAAGCTAAATGCAGAGCCGGACTACCTCGAAGTATTGGAAAAACAGACCACATTCAGTCAGTTCTGAGACCTCCTTTTCTCCTCCTGTCCTCTCCTAGAGCATTTGTATTTAATAGCCACACACAAAGAAACACAATGTTCCCTTCCATGTCCCTTTTCTCCCCAACCTGCCTTTTCTTCATTTTGTTGGAAGGTGAAGTGCCTTGGCACAAGAATTTCCAGCTTCGGGGAAAATTATGGAAAGGGTGTGCTGATTCCATAGTTATAGATCATTCTCTCTCTCTCTCTCTCTCTCTCTCTCTCTCTCTTCTTTTCTTTCTCCCTCCCTCCCTCTCTCTCTCTGTTGTTTGGTTTTGTTTTTAAACTGCCAGTAGGAATCAATGGATTGAGTAAACTAGGCACAGAATTTGTTCTCTCACCCCTTTATATGGTGTGTGTTGTGCTAAGGAAAGCATTGGGATGTGTATTAAAATGTTTCTTGTAAAACTGGATGTCAGAAAGATCATAGAAATCACTCTCCTCCCCGCTTTTATGTTGGATATGCACAGCTGACCATTTGTTGTCCCCCCCCCACACCCCACCCAATGCTTGGTTGAAAAGTGCAGGGCACCAAATTCCTTTTTCTTTTCTTTTTAAAGCCATGGATGGCTCTAAATGGCTTTGGGGGAGCTGGGGGGGACAAGATTAGCACACCCTGACTTTAATACAAGGTTGTTTGTTCTTTCCCTTCCTTTTTTTAAGGAAAAAAAATGAAAACAAAGGATGTATTTGTATGTTTCTGGACTTTTGAATTTAAAAAACACATACACAACATTACGATCTTTAAAAGGATCGCCATAGATGTGGACAAATCAATAAAGAGTTCAGAGATATATGATCCGTAACTGATTAGTAAAAATAACTTATTGAAATATATACAAAAATATTTTATTGTAGCTCCTATTTTTATAAGCGCGGTAGCATTTCCTTCACCGGTAAGGTCTAGTCCTCTCATATGGAACAGTTCATGGGGCCTCCTTGCACATTAATGCTTTGTTTGTTTTTAAGATGTAGAACTAAAATGTGACACAAAAGGTATTTAGAAATGTATATCATGCAGCTACAAGGAGAGTCAGGATTGTTTTATATACACTTGGTGGCACACCCTGGTTTGTTGCTGTATAATGTGAGAAATGATCCTTTAGCACTGATTGTGTAGGCAAGCATTTGGCAAACACATAGGGTTATATCCTACACCATTGATTTCAGTAAGAATTTAAGCTCTGTAACTGGCACAGATTCGTAGCCTTAGACATGCATCAAACCTTCAATGCAGGATTCTGCTCATGATGCACGGTCTTAGGCTTGCTAGAGCATCGTTCCTATTCAGCCATAGTACTGGATGTTTTTCCAGGGTGCCAAATAGCTTTCAGGATGAAGCCCGGAGTCTGTGATTTGCTCAGGTTGTGTTACACTGCTTTCTGAGCTTCCTTTCCAAAGCTGCAATGGTCTCTGGAGAATGTCAGAAATCACTGAAATTATTAATAATCATCATGACCAAATCTTAAGAGACAATCTGAGGGGGGGGGGAAACCATGTCAGAAAAAGAGATTTATATGATACGTTTTGTTGTTGGTGTTGTTCATGAATTATTATTCTAAGGAGCTTCCTGCTAGGGTGAGGGTGACTAATTTGGACTAATTAGTGAGGGACATGTGGAAATAGTCTGTTTGAGCCAGGGAGATGGTGATGGTTTATATTCAAAATTCAGCTCAAATATCATAGTTTGGTAATGTCTGTCACCGATTTTTGATTATTGGTTCAACAAAAATGGCCTTTGTCCAGCTCCATATGTGTAATGGCACCACCAGAAGCCAAATGATGGACTGCATAAGTCTATTTATGAATTCTTAACTCCATTTGGGCACCAACCAGTGGGACATAAATCCATAAACACAGCATCACTGTATGATGGGACAGGTTGCGGTCTCATATGTATCCCAGCACATGTATTTTTTTTATAGTTTATGAATAAACACTTGATAACAATTTGAAATGGAAGAAAATGACATAGTCTTTACATGAAGTCTAATGGTTTGTTTCTAGTGCCATTTGTTGCTCATAAAGAAAAGTCTGTCCATACTACATATTTTTCCTGAAATGATGGATTTAATAACATTATACTCTTGTCAATGCTTTCTTTAAGTTGTTCTATAAGCTTGCTCTGCTGATTCATCCCAAAGGCATAAACAATATTAGATGGCTGTACACTTGCACTGTATGTGGTACTCGAGTTTCACCTTGAATTTTTTCTCCATTCTACAGTTTCCATTTTATAGACATGAGAATAGGTAAGTTATATTTTGTATGTAAATTTTTGCCTTGTATCATATACAAGTCTTCTATTTTGAGGAGGAGGAAAATTTATTTTGTTTAATGTTTTTCCGGGGGGAGGGGAAGAAATGACTTTTCTTACATGTACAAAGAATTTTGTTTGTGTATGTTGTTGTTTTTTAAAGAGAGACTACAAGTTTTCTTTTTCGTTCCACAAAATAATTTTTCCTATTTCTAAATTCCACCCCCACATTCCACACACATATTCTTACAAACCTGAAGGGAGTATATTGTGCCTTGGAGGTATATTTAAATATGTGGAAATGTTTATATTTTATATACATGAAAATTACCAGGAGTTACAATGTCCAAGAAATTTTTCAGATGTAAGTGTTATGAATTTTGATGTGGGGCTGTCATTGTTTCTTAGTAAGTTCCCATTAAAAATTGTATGAAACAGGAAGTGAAAATGTTGCTTATTGTAGTAAGTCGCAACTAGACCAGGTTCACTAAATCAGAGAACTTATTGAAGAGTTGACTTGCCAAATCCCTTCTGAATCAACGGGCCTGCTCTAGTTGTGACTTACTATGCTAAGTAAACAAGATTTCAGCCTGCCTTTTTGTTGAGAACAAAGAGATTGGTTTCAGTGTTGTATGTATAATGTCAGAGAGGATTATAAGGAGTCAAATATTGATTTTAGAGATGTCAAGATGTGAGCTGCATAGTTTGTATTTGAATTTTAATTCATGATATTATCTGGGCTTATTTATAATTGGTAATTTATCCTCAGAACTGACTAGGAAAAAGAAATGTTGTTTTTAAAGTGTAGGTGTTATTAATTAATCAATTCATTAATTTTGCTTGAATAAAAACTGGGAGATTAAAATGATGATTTGGTTGCAAGAGGCATAGATGAATTTAGATATCCATGTAATTCCTATAGCAACTCCAGTTGTTCCTAGGATTGCTACCATTTTTTTTCTGGCAGGACTTAATAACTACTTTGATAAAGGGCACAAATTCAAGTCAAGCACCTTCTTTGTCGCTGCCTGTCATGTAGCTCTTAGCAGCTAAGTCCTGCCAGGGAAAAAAATGCAATTAACATATTTATAGCTCAGTCCTATCACATAGAGACTCACTGAGTCATGGTGAGTCAGTGAGTTATAATTTTCTAGGAGCACTAGATGTCAGTGAGAACTAAGCTTACATGTGAAGCAAATGTTGGCCATGTAAATTTCAGGTTTTGTGAATTTGTCCAGACCTTTAACCCGTGTCAAGGAAGTGTGACTGGGGCACTCATTTCTCATACTTTACAGAGTTTGTCTTTCATGTAGTGCAGTTTCATGGCGGTTTTATGTCTGCTCATGCACTGCTACCATAGGGAATCCTCAGAGTGGAACTTTCTGTGCCGTCCAGACTGGGTTACCTGGTGGAAGTTAACATTTATGGTGATTCTTGATTGTTCTTCCCCTCTAGTTGCTTACTCCGCTTCACAGAATTGGGGGAGCAGAATTATGCTTGCTGGCCTCTTCCCTCAGTATCTACACTAGGGGTGAGGAATGAGTGACTTCTCACATTGGAATTAGCCCCTAGGCAGTGTAACCAGTGGTATGGAATGATGGAAGTTGTAGACCAGCAGGGGAGAGCCACCGGTTCACATTCAGTAAATTCATGAACTCTCTGTGCACAGCTGCAGTTATTTACATTTCCACATAGCTGGGATGCTTGGACAGTAAGGTTTCTGATTGTGAGGATGAATCTCACTCAATACAGTTGATCATATACAGGATATGATTATGAAGATATGTACAGTAGGTGCATTCCCATTTCTGCCTTCACAAGTAGAGTGTATTAAAGGAGGTAAATTCATTTGTGGACAGTATTGTTTATATACACCATGATGTAACTATGAAAAACAGCTATCTGAGAGGGTGGCCTTATTATGGTCAAGTTTCTTTGCACTGTGACCATCCATACCTTTCTGCCTTCACAAGTAGAGTGTATTAAAGGAGGGAAATTCATTTGTGGACAGTATTGTTTATATACACCATGATGTAACTATGAAAAACAGCTATCTGAGAGGGTGGCCTTATTATGGTCAAGTTTCTTTGCACTGTGACCATCCGCTTATTGTAGTAAGTCGCAACTAGACCAGGTTCACTAAATCAGAGAACTTATTGAAGAGTTGACTTGCCAAATCCCTTCTGAATCAACGGGCCTGCTCTAGTTGTGACTTACTATGCTAAGTAAACAAGATTTCAGCCTGCCTTTTTGTTGAGAACAAAGAGATTGGTTTCAGTGTTGTATGTATAATGTCAGAGAGGATTATAAGGAGTCAAATATTGATTTTAGAGATGTCAAGATGTGAGCTGCATAGTTTGTATTTGAATTTTAATTCATGATATTATCTGGGCTTATTTATAATTGGTAATTTATCCTCAGAACTGACTAGGAAAAAGAAATGTTGTTTTTAAAGTGTAGGTGTTATTAATTAATCAATTCATTAATTTTGCTTGAATAAAAACTGGGAGATTAAAATGATGATTTGGTTGCAAGAGGCATAGATGAATTTAGATATCCATGTAATTCCTATAGCAACTCCAGTTGTTCCTAGGATTGCTACCATTTTTTTTCTGGCAGGACTTAATAACTACTTTGATAAAGGGCACAAATTCAAGTCAAGCACCGTCTTTGTCGCTGCCTGTCATGTAGCTCTTAGCAGCTAAGTCCTGCCAGGGAAAAAAATGCAATTAACATATTTATAGCTCAGTCCTATCACATAGAGACTCACTGAGTCATGGTGAGTCAGTGAGTTATAATTTTCTAGGAGCACTAGATGTCAGTGAGAACTAAGCTTACATGTGAAGCAAATGTTGGCCATGTAAATTTCAGGTTTTGTGAATTTGTCCAGACCTTTAACCCGTGTCAAGGAAGTGTGACTGGGGCACTCATTTCTCATACTTTACAGAGTTTGTCTTTCATGTAGTGCAGTTTCATGGCGGTTTTATGTCTGCTCATGCACTGCTACCATAGGGAATCCTCAGAGTGGAACTTTCTGTGCCGTCCAGACTGGGTTACCTGGTGGAAGTTAACATTTATGGTGATTCTTGATTGTTCTTCCCCTCTAGTTGCTTACTCCGCTTCACAGAATTGGGGGAGCAGAATTATGCTTGCTGGCCTCTTCCCTCAGTATCTACACTAGGGGTGAGGAATGAGTGACTTCTCACATTGGAATTAGCCCCTAGGCAGTGTAACCAGTGGTATGGAATGATGGAAGTTGTAGACCAGCAGGGGAGAGCCACCGGTTCACATTCAGTAAATTCATGAACTCTCTGTGCACAGCTGCAGTTATTTACATTTCCACATAGCTGGGATGCTTGGACAGTAAGGTTTCTGATTGTGAGGATGAATCTCACTCAATACAGTTGATCATATACAGGATATGATTATGAAGATATGTACAGTAGGTGCATTCCCATTTCTGCCTTCACAAGTAGAGTGTATTAAAGGAGGTAAATTCATTTGTGGACAGTATTGTTTATATACACCATGATGTAACTATGAAAAACAGCTATCTGAGAGGGTGGCCTTATTATGGTCAAGTTTCTTTGCACTGTGACCATCCATACCAGAGTGAGGATGCTGTCTTACATTATTATTATATTACTGACAATTTGGGGCCTGTTCATGAAACCTACCATCAACAGTGCAATGGAGCTTACCAGTACCTTGCATTATCACCACAACATTTACACATATAAGAATAGAGAGAGATGATTGTGGAATTTTCTCCCTCATGTTAAAATAACTTGGCTGTCTCCAAGCTGCATGCACCTTCATGGGAGTGCAGGCATTTTCTGTGTTCACTTTTATTCTGCCTTGTCTGATGATCCATCACATAACAAAGTGTTGTACATGTTATCTTAGTGTATTTGTATAGAACTTTGCAAGAAATGATGTCAGGCAGATTTTCTCTTAAATCAAGATTATGCTAGAGAATGTATTTTACATCACTTTCTTTAAGCAGTTTCTTTTGCTTTTTGGTACATTCATAACAACAGGACATTTAAAAGGGGCATACATAAGCAGTGGGCTCATTTGCCTTTCTAGGTAGTAGAAAGCTGTCTAGAGTACAGCAGCTGTGTCAGTGGACCTGACATACAATTGAATACTGGCTTTTCTACCAGTTTGGGGGGCAGCCAGCTAGGTGAAGTGGTGCAGGTGGGCAATGGGGGCACATGCACCTCTGTGCCCAACACATAATCAAGGCTCACTTACCACAGTGCTGGGCTGCTGGGGCTCTTCCCTGCCTAGAATTAAGCAGATAGATCCCCATGATGAAAGTAATGAAGACAGAATCTTGAAGAGGCTTATGCTGCAACCTGAATAGTAATTTATTGTTTGTTGAAACATTTTTACGTTGCTCTTCGTAAGAAGTGGGCCCAAGATCAGTGGGAAAAAAAAGTCAGATTTGCAAGGGGAGATAGGAAAAGAAGCAAACCATGCTTCTACAACTAGAAGCTCTGTAATGCACAAAACATTTCATTAGCTCATTTATGTTCAGTGTATTTTAGTTTTACAGTTATAGCTGGAAGGGCTATAGTTTAAAGTCCACTCTGTGGGCAGAATAGTTTTAAAAATCTACCTATTTAGTTCCAGCTATATAATTGGCTTCACAATATCATATAATATAATATAAACTAGATAGAG